GGTGCTGTGCAAGGCCTTATGCCCAGTTCATAGTCCCCCCACAAAAGCGAGCGTGTTCATGTCTTAAGCACATGAAGCTCTGATTTTCAATCACAGAACAGAATGTTGACAGCTTTCGTGGGGAGCCTCTTTCTGCTGCAGGGAATATGGCAAGGGATGCCAGCCTGAAATACAGCAGCATGCTGGGCCCCTACACTCCTTCCCTACAAAAGGCCATGGGGTTGTGTTTACTCACCCAACAGACACAACCACTGAATCAGTCTCCTTGGCAATCTTGCTGCAGACATCTTCATAGAATGCTAGCAAGTTGGGAGGGAAATTCAAAATTGGGAAGCAATTATGTGGAAGATATACGTAACGAAAGGAAGCTGTTTCACAACCCAGGGGTGATGCATTCACAGAAGTCCCACTGAAATGCATGGACATAAGTCACAGCAGAACCCGAAGGATGACACCTTTGGCTTCCATTGCTCTACATCAGGGATCAGCAACCTTTTTCAGCCGTGGGCCGGTCCACCGTCCCTCAGACCATGTGATGGGCCAGACTATATGGGGGGGGGGATGAACGAATTCCTATGCCCCACAAATAACCCAGAGATGCATTTTAAATAAAAGCACACATCCTACTCTTGTAAAAACACCCGGCAGACCCCACAAATAACCTAGAGATGCATTTTAAATGAAGGCACACATTCTACTCATGTAAAAACGCACTGATTCCCAGACCGTCAACGGGCCGGATTGAGAAGGTGATTGGGCCGCATCCGGCCCACAGGCCTTAGTTTGCCTACCCCTGCTCTAGATGCTGTGAGACTGCAACTCCCAGTAATCACAGGCAGGGATGTCACACTTACCTTCAATTCTCTACCTGCCCAGGGTTTCCAGCAACTGCTAGGCAGAAGCACTGCTGCCTCCAATCTTGCCTTAAAAAGCACATTTTTTGCAAAGAAATCTTCCCTTTCATACAATATTGGTACATGCAATATTCACTGACATAAGCCTTTTTATGCCCTGTGAACATCCCATTGCTAGAGAGCTGCATTGTAAGCATCAGAGACTGACTTTGAGTTCACAAATTGCTTCCCAAACTGCAAATTAAATAGGTTCACATATAAAAACAAATTGAACAAAATTACAACCTCCCACCCCCTCCCCCAGACACAAACAAATCTTCAACTTAAGAGATATGGGGCATGGTGTCGGGGATCCAGCAGGGTGAGACGCTTGGGAGGGGTCTGATTCTGAGAATGAGGCTGACTCTGAGAATGAGACTGAAATATACTCAGAGTCGCAAAGTGATTTCATGCTCTTTATTCAGCTCATAGTGGTGAGGAGGAATGAATGAATGTCCCCTCAAAGTATCTGCCTTATATACATTATTTACACAATGGACTGCACATGATTGGCTAATTCCGGAATTCTACTGTAAGCCAATCAGGTTGTGGATTCACTTCTATCTGGAGCATGATTGGGTGGTTCCTGCCAACCAATCATACTGCTGCATTGTTCTAGGACCAATCAGACTGCTGCATTCTGAATCCTATTGTTCTAGGACCAATGAGACTACTGGAGTTTGGATCCTATTCAACTCAGTACATAACAGAGACATTGCAGCCTCAGGCAAGGCAAGGGTGGGTTTACTTGGCCCCCCTTCCTTCTCAGTCTTATGAAGCCAGAAGGGTAACAAAGGCAGGGAGTTTGCGGCTTCAGAATGTTGGGGAGGGGGGAGAGATGTCCTGGAAGAGGATACTAGAGTAGAGCTCTCAGAGGAATCTTCGCTGGACAGCGAGGGGGGAGGATGCCCAAATTCTCCTCGCAGCAGGATGGAGGAGAAGGTGAAAATGCTAAGTAAGGGGGAAAGGGGAAAGATCGTATCTTGTCTCCCTTTGTGCTGTCTGAGAAATGGAAACTCAAACTGAGCACTTCGTATCGGAGAATGACAGGCATTTGGCATGCTCTGTGATTTTGAACTGTAAATAAACGTACATAAATTTTCCAGAGGCTCATTAATTCTTATCAGACCTCTTTGCCTGCCTGAGATCATTACACGCAGATCTATGAGTTGCAAGCTTTCATTGAATTAAGATGTTATCGTTTGTATTCATATATGCAAACCTATTTCAATTTTCAGAGACAGGAAAAACAAACTTGTTATAAGAACCTCCCAAATCTCCACCTTAGAAGAAATCTGCCTAGCTGTTGAAGTGAGGGAGCATGGGAGTTTTATTCCAGGAAGCAAGATCTTGGAGGGGCACAGGTGCCCCCATTCCCCCAAATATGAATATCTGTAGCAATAGCAAGCTCTTGCAAGAGGTTGTGTCACCAGTCTCCTGACTCCCAATTTCTTCATGTGTCACTTAATCCTAGCCTACCTTCCTCCCACAGTTCCTGCTTCATAGGCTGTTGCAATGGAAGGCTACTGAATGGGACTTGTTAACTGCCCACCTATTACATTGCAATTGGTCTTGTGAGATGAAACCTGGTGTGAGTCCAGTTCTCTCAACCACTCATATTGTCCCTAAGAGATGGGAAAGAGCCATTCTGGATTAGGCCAAAGACCCAGCCAGCCCAGCCTTGTGTTCTCCCCAAGGCCAACCAGATGTCAGCAGGAGGCCCACAAAGAGAGCCTGGCTGCAACAGCACTCTGCTCACCTGCATGGGGAAATTTGGGGCATGATGGCAGGCGATTTGGGGAACTCTGATAACAAGTTTGTTGTTTTGTGTTTCTGAAAGTGGCACTGCTACTTGCCAACTTGTAAAATTGGTTTTGTGAGATGGAAACCTGGCAGAGGCCCAGTTTCGGGATATGGGTTTTGGAAAGCTGACCTATGTATTAATTATCACTATGTATAAATTAACACATGTGGGTGTGGTGGGTGGGTGTGGGATTTGGTCAGGTGTAAATGAGGGGGTGGCCAGGGGTGGGAGGGTGGCTGGGTTGGTAAGCAGAGCAATCAGGAACAGCAACCTATTAGATACATATTTGTGAACCTATTTGAGGTTCTATGAAATCAAGTGTTATATGAATTTTATGAAAGGAATGGGTCAGTATCAGCAGTGGGGGGCATCTGTCCCTCCCCCAGGGGCTGCTTGCTGGAGTGCAGCTCCCCGGTTCCCTGACCATTGACCACTAGAGAGGTGGGATCTGGGAAGCCATGAGAACAAGAGGGTCCATGTGTATAAATTAACATATGCAAATCCAAAGCACACGTGTGCCCTTTGTCTCTTCAGGAACTACCACCAACACTCTTGTATTTCAGCCCTGTAAACCTCTCTTCCAATGATATCTGAAGCACTTCTACCCAGAAAGGAGATTCCAATTAAACATGGTAAGAGTTGTTTGACAGGGAACCGCCTCGCTTGGGAGGTGGCGGGCTCTCTTTGACTGGAGGTTTGACAATAGAGGTTTCACAACATTTCTAGGATTCTACATGGGCTTATTGAGTTCAATGGGGCTTGCCTCTAGGTAAGTGTTCATAGGCTCACAGCTTTAATCTCTTACCGATGCTCCCAACCGTCCCAGCACCTCCATGGAAGAACACAAATCCTTTCCTTGGGCCAGCAGATGGTGTTTTGGACTGATAAACCCTCACAGGCACCCCATCGAAATGCAGATCTTTGGAAGAGAGGCTGGGATCCGCTCTTGGATTCCAGAAACTCTGGAGGAAGCGGATAACGGCAACCTGTCTGCAGACACCCAGCAGCTCAAGACACTTCCCCTGTTGGGCAAAGGAAAAGTCTCATGATAATAGTGCCCACATTTGCAACCTATTCACAGTGGGTGGTATCCAAATTGTTGGTTTCTATTTCCCTCACTGAGCAGCAACTGCAGTCACAAGACATTGTTTTGCATTCCACAGTCAGAGGTACTGTTGGAGTTTCTCACGGGAAAGGGAGACTGGATGTGACGTACACTGGTTTCCTGTTTTTTTCACTGGTTGATTCTCTCCAAGCTGTTGAGGAGAGAGGATGCATTTTCTGCTCTTGCAGAGACAAGATGTCTTTCTGTAATATACCAGCTTTGAACTGTAAATAAAGCTATATGGAGTATGTAACACATTTTCCTCATCCTTCCGCTGGCCACGACAGACTCTGCTTAAATCAACACGTGGTTATGGACTCCAGAGGTCGAATCGCAGTGCCGGCAGATCGGAATGCAGAGGGACGGATCGGAAAGGAATCTGCTCTGCGCGTAGAAGTGATTGATGAGGTATGTGCTACTGCTCCGGGCAGCCTGCCAGCTTCAAGATAATGGCTTTATGGCTGGACTTTGAACTTTTAAAGCCGGTTTTGCAAATAGGCAAAAGGCTCCCAGGCACAAGTCACTATGCTGGGGAAATCGAAAGTAACTTTTAAGTGTGCCTTTGTAATGAGGCAGCTGCAGCAGTGACGCAGCAAGATTTAAAGCAGCACAGATATGACGCTGACGGCTAATGCCAGAGTCATGATGGCCCTTCAGGATGCTTGTGGGATTCCTAAGCTCAACAAGACAAATTACAGCGACTGGGTTCAGTATGCAGAGGCAATTCTGCGGAAAGAGGGGTTGTTTGAGGTGATTACAGGAACCCCCCCAGTTCCAGTTACAGATGCATGGGAAGCTAAGGATTCCAAAGCAAGGGGAACTCTTACATTGATAGTATCCCCAGAAGAGCTCTGTCTGTTGCGTGATAAGACCTCAGCCAGAGAAATTTGGGACGCTCTGAGAGAGGCTCATTTAAGGACAGAAGCTGGATCCACAATGTTTTATTTTAACAAGCTGCATAATATGGCTCTTGCTGAAGGTGGAGATGTGCGTTTACATCTAATGGAGATGCAAAATCTCAGACATGAGCTGCAACAGAGAGGACTCAACTTTCCAGAGGCTGTGTATTCTTTCATGATACTACAATCTTTGGGTTCAGGTTGGGAGTCTGTTGCAACCCAGATTGCTGTGCAACCAACTGCTCAGCTGACAGTGGACTTTGTTACTGCCGTGATTTTAAATGAAGTAGATCGCCGGGGTGCTAGCTGCATGGGCAAGGGAGAGTCTTCACAGACGTCATCCCATAGTGCAGTGGAACCACCAGATGGCGCCAAAGCTTTGCAGGCAGTCAAATGCTACTCGTGTGGACGTCTAGGCCATATGAAGAGGGAATGCAGACATCCCAGGGCCAAGACAGAGCAGCGCAGCGAAAGCTCATCGCGCGGAAAAGGCCGAGGCAAAGGCAAAGGTCCGGTGTCTAGGACAACGCAGCACAAGGCTATGGTTTCACGCTTCACTCCAAAGGTTGCAGAGGTCCAGAAGACGTCTAGATCTTTCTTCGTTGTTGATTCAGCGGCCACCCACCACATGTGCAACGATAAGAAACTGTTTGTGTCTTTTACACCGCAGGAAGGTGCGATTCACCAGGCGGATGACCACACTATTCCCAGTAAAGGCTACGGAACTGTTGTTCTTCACAGTTTGGACTTATCGATACAGAATGTGCTTTACGTGCCAGACGCCAAACATAATCTGCTCAGCGTTGGACAGCTGAATGAGCGGAACATTGACGTTTCCTTCAAGAACAAGAAGTGCATCATCACAAAGAAAAATGATTATGTATTGCATGCAGAATATGTTGATCATTTGTTTGTTTTGTATTATGATGATGTGGTGCAGGATGACACTTGTTGCATTGCAGGTTCTAACAAAAGTTTGCATGCAGAATGTATTCACGATTTTCATCGCAAATTTGGTCATTTGCATTTTGAGGCAGTATCTAAAATGCCTGCCTTGGTTGAAGGTATGACTATTAAACCCTGCAGGTACCACATGAAGTGCAAAGCATGCGCAGCAAACAAGGTGAAAATGGCTGCGAAAGGTAAGGTGTCTAGTAGGAAAGCTACAGAACCATACCAGGTTGTTCATGCTGATTTGGTTGGACCACTATCGCCCTCTTTGGGTGGAAATAGATACTTCATGGTTCTCATTGATGCATTTTCTAGATATATTTTTGTGTACAATCTCAAGCAGAAATCGGAGGCTTTTCCTAGGTTCAAGGAATTCTGTGCTTGGTTGGAAAATGTGCATGGTAAGAAGATAAAGACTCTTTTCAGTGATCGCGGGGGAATTCACTTCTCAGCAGTTTGAAGCTTTTCTGACTGAGAAAGGAATTCAACACGATTTGTCTAGTCCTCGCTCGCCATGGCAGAATGGACTTGCGGAACGGGCAAATCAGACATTGCTTCAAGGGTTAAAAACCTTGCTGCATGATGCCAATCTTCCAGAGAGTTATTGGGCCGAATCTCTCTCGTGTTTTGTTTACAGTTACAATCGCAGGTTATGTTCAGCGATTGGTTGTACCCCCTATGAGAAGATGTTTGGCAAGAAGCCATACATCAAACACATGAAGATTTTGGTTCTGACATGTGGGTTCGCTCACCACAAAACTCCAAGTTAGACAAGCGTGGATTGCATGGTATCTTTCTAGGTTATCAGAAAGGGTCTTACAGAATAATGATGACTGACTCTAAGACAATTAAGCTCACGAGAAGTGTTGAGTACAATGCAAAGTGGGGGGAGAATGTGGGAATTTTCCAATGTTATCCTGATGACGGTGATGAGACTGAGGATAGTCAAAAGCAACCACAACAACCCACACCCACTGATGAAGGTTCTGAGTCTGAATCTGAAACTGAATCAGGTGATTCAGAGGATTTCAAGAGTGCGAAAGCCTCTATGCGACCCTCTGAAAGCTCTGATCAAGAATTGGAGGAACCATTGTTCACAATAGGTCGTTTTTCTCCTAAGAAGGAAGAGGAGAGTGTTGAAGACTTAAGGATAATTCGTAGGTCACAGAGAGCCACAAAAGGCAAACCTCCAAAGAGATTTGCTGATGAGTTTGCTAAGATAGCAGTAACAGCTGTTAAAAGCTCCAAGAAGGTATTTGAACCTTCAAGTTTCCAAGAAATCCAGGGTTTGGATTCAAAGGAAGCTGAGCCATGGTTAAATGCCATGAAGGCTGAGCTTGATTCCTTAGAAAGGAACAAAACATGGGAGCTAGTTCCAGTAGTTCCAGGAATGAAACTGCTTGGAAGCAAATGGGTCTTCAAAGCGAAGACAGATCAAAATGGCAAGATAGTCAGACACAAAGCCAGATTGGTAGCCAGAGGTTTTGCACAGGTACCAGGTGAAGACTATCACGAGACCTATTCACCCACAGTGAGATATGAAAGCATTAGGCTTATGCTCAAGCTAGCTGCAGAGGAAAATCTACACATTAGTCACCATGATATTAATACAGCTTTTCTGTACGGATCTCTAAATGAATCACTTTATATGCTTCCACCTGATGGCGTACAGGTAAAACAGGGATTTGTTTGTGCTCTGAAGAAATCCCTTTATGGTCTCAAACAAAGTGCACGGTGTTGGCACACAAAACTCACTGAAGTATTGTTTTCTCTAGGTTTTCAGCAAGGAAAGCTGATCCATGTGTATTTGTCAAAGAGGAGGGGCAAAAGAAACTGTACTGTTTGTTTTATGTTGATGATTTATTATTCTTTTGGAAAGATGTTGCAATGTACAATAGCGCCCTAGCTCAACTGAAAGAGCACTTTGACATGAAAGATCTTGGTGAGGTAAACAACTACCTATCTCTGGAAATAGAGAGAGATCAAGATGGTAACATTCTAGTACACCAGTCACGGAAAATTGCTGATGTGTTAAGCAAACTAAATCTGATGGATGCTAACCCTGTAGACACACCGATGACAACAGGTTATCAGGTAGATGACACTGAAGAAGCATTTTCTGACACTACACTGTACAGGAGTGTGCTAGGCAAGCTAAACTTCATTGCCAGATGTTCAAGACCAGACATTGCTGTTAGCTGTAATTTGCTAAGCAGACAAGTCAACAATCCTAGTGTCAAGGATTGGAAAGCTCTGAAACGCATAGCGCGGTATTTGAAAGGCACTATGCATTACAGACTGAGATTTAACAATCAGAAGTCTGGTGGTCTTGAGATATTTGCAGATGCAAGTTTTGGAAGTGACACTACAGACAGGAAAAGTACGTCTGGAGTTTGCTACATGTACAATCAGAGTCTGTTTGATTGGTCATGCAAGAAGCAAACAACAGTTAGCTTAAGTACTTGTGAAGCTGAACTGAATGCACTGTCTTATTCACTTAAGGATTGTGAATGGTTAGTACAATTGTGCAAAGATATGAAAATTCCTGTCAAATGTCCAATCCAGGTTTACCAGGACAACAAAGCATGTTTGGCTTTGCTGAAGTCTGAAGGTTGTAAGCAAAGCACAAAGCACTTGCAATTAAAGTTGCAGCATGCTAGGGAATGTATTCAGAAGGGACTCGTAACGGTGTCCTATATGCCAGGTAATGAAATTCCTGCTGATGTATTGTCCAAGATTGTATCAAGGGATCAACACTGTACCTATGTGCAGAAGTTGGGTTTGTACTGATATTGTGCAAACACGCTGCCCAGTGATGTTCACAGAAAGGGGGAGGATGTTGGTTTCTATTTCCCTCACTGAGCAGCAACTGCAGTCACAAGACATTGTTTTGCATTCCACAGTCAGAGGTACTGTTGGAGTTTCTCACGGGAAAGGGAGACTGGATGTGACGTACACTGGTTTCCTGTTTTTTTCACTGGTTGATTCTCTCCAAGCTGTTGAGGAGAGAGGATGCATTTTCTGCTCTTGCAGAGACAAGATGTCTTTCTGTAATATACCAGCTTTGAACTGTAAATAAAGCTATATGGAGTATGTAACACATTTTCCTCATCCTTCCGCTGGCCACGACAGACTCTGCTTAAATCAACATTTAAAGTAGACCAATTGAAATGAATGAGCACATGTTAGCCAAGTCCATTAATTTCAATTGGTCAGCTTAGAATTGGTCACCCCAACCTAAACACCCGCCAAAGTACAGAGGCAAAAGAAGCTGGGAAACAAGCTAAGCTTTGGAGAAACAATCCACAGTCTCCTTGCTTGCCTATGAGGCAATATGTGCTTTCCTGAAGAAACCATGACGTAAAGAAAATAGGGCTTTTTCTCTCTATGTGTGTCCTTCTATAGGCTGAAAGGAAGCCCTTGTTGAAAGTGATAATATCTTCATCACATCGTCAAGTGAATTCATTGATTTTACTGATTTCATTATGCATGTTGGATTCAGCAGTATATGAATTACTTAAATATATAAACTGTTATTTATTATTTTTAATTAAATAAATATACTGCCCTTCTTGAAAGGATCTCAGGGTGGTTCACAGCAAAAAAATGCAAGATAAAAACCCAAAATACACAATGAAAGAACAAAGCAAACCAATAACACCTTGAAAAGATATAGAAATGTTTTTGCCTGGTGCCTACAGATAAGTATTATTAACTCTAATAATAATAATACATTTCTTAATCACCTTTCCCAAAAGAACATAAGAAGGACCTGCTGGCTCAACTAACGGCTCATCCAGTCCCCAACTTACCGCAGTGAATGCCATTATGGCAAGACAGTGAAGACCTCGAAGCTTTAATGGACTGTCAAATCCAGGTGGAATTTCACTCCTGGAAAGATCATAGTAAATCGCCCAGGAGAGGAGAGACAGGGAAGGAATCCCTATAACTCCAATCAACGCCAGCAGCAGGCTCTGAAGAAGCTCCATTTCTCCGTTCCAAAGAGTGAGATGCAAACACTGAGCCTAAACTGTCAGCATTTGCTGCTGTTTAACTCCACCAGTGGTATCTATAAACAGCCAGTTGTAGGTTGGTTGATGAACTGTTTCACAATTAGAACACAGACTTCCATGTAGATGTGATATCCATCAGAACACCAAGAACAATTTTATGGGTCAGGTTGACACAATTAGTGGTGCCCTATTCAGGAATTTCAAGTCCAGCCACCGAACCATCCAGCTCCATGTAAGGCTCTTCAGTTTTACATACCCCAGGTGTTTGTTGACTGAAGTTCAAAACATCACCACACAGCTTAACCCAATAGTCAGGAATGGTGGGAGCTGTGTGCACTTCCTGGCCCAAGATTTCCAAGGCTTCTGACATGAGTCCTATTCCTACCTAAGCCCCTGGATATTCAAGTCATGGGCTCTGCTCCTCATAGATAAATGCAACTTCATGTTGACATGAAGTATATCTGTGCATGGACGCAGCCAGGTTTCATGTTGGGGTGACAGGACACCCACCTGCCATCGTCCTTTGTCTGGCTCTGTCTAGCAGATTCCAAATGATATGTCTCAACAACAGTTTCTTTTGGCTTCCTGTTTCTGGCGATGGGAAATGGCTGACTCCCACAAGAACGGACCCCAGCTGTGCCAATAATTCAGGGCTGATACGGGGGTAATTAGCCCTGCAGCCTCCCCAGTTTTACCGCCACCATTTGAAGGAGTGCAGGATCAACTCTCCGGAGAGGTCCTGAGCTTTGAGAGGCAAAAAGAGGTTACGCTAGGGCAACAGTGAACCTCATAACCCGAGGAGTTAAATTCTCGGGGCTGGGGGGCTGGCTGTGTTCAGAGGCGTCTCTCCTGTGTGCACACCGGACCTGTCAGGGTTCAGCAAGGACGCAGGATTGAAGATACAAATGCTAGGATCCATTCTGACCTGCAAAGCGATGCCACAGGCTCCGAAAGGTGAAGCGGTAAAGCATTCCGAGGCTGAAGATTAAACCCTCGCATCCCAAAACAAAAGAAAAAGCAGAAGAGAAGCAAAAAAATAAGGAGGTACAAGGGAGAGTAATAACAATTTGGGTGCTAAGGAAATCCTTCCTGACTCTGGTGGAGAAAATGACGCAAGGGAAAAAATCGGTATGCGTGAGTCAGCGTTTTAAAAAGAACGTCTGCTGAGTAACAAGAAGGAAAAGAGTCTCAGCTCCTAGAAGGGCTAAAGAGACAAAATAAAGCTAAACAAATAAATTTAATTGGGAGATATAGGACAGTGTTTCAAATACCCGTGAAACTCAGTACATTTGTGAGGAACTCAGTGACATGCAGCGTAAATTAATAATGTAGAGTTTTAAAGAATAAAAGCTTTACTGAATTAAAATAAACTTCTTCATAAACAACATGGTTCCAAACAGTTTGACTAAGATTCTATACAGACTCTGTTCATAGCTGACGCAGACAGACTCTCACATCTTACAGAGAGCACAAAAGAGAATCTGGCTACTAAGTCACATGTCGGAGTGACTCAACAGTTAGCAGTTAGGCCTGAATAACTTTAGTAGGCCCAAATGATTGTGCAGTCCCAGCACTTCCCAGCCTGCTTTGCTGCTTCTGCTCTCATGTGTCTTTGTCACATGACACTCAGAACTTTGTATGTACCGTGAAGGCGCTTTTGGGAATACCAGGTTGGAAACACCATTGAATGTACAGACCCATTGTAATACTGTAACAACATTGTAACAACACGGCTACTGGACGTTACTGGAGGTTTTGGATTGTAGAGAGCTCAGAGACATTGTTTGCACTTTACTTCTCAATGTTTACAAGTATGGGACTTGAGCGATTTGAAACATTTTGCAACCTTCCCTACGTGGCAACAGAGGAGGAATTAGAACTGCTACTTCTTCTCTCCTATTGTTTGCGACTATGTGATGCTGTGTAGAACGACGGAGCTGATTGTTGTGATAGGAATTTTATGGTCTTAGATATATGGTAATGTTCATAAGTGTACCAACCAAGCACACACATAGATCAGCACAGGAAGGCCAACCTGGAACCATTTTGATTCCTAAACTGAGCAAATGTTTTCTCTGCAAGGTCAAACTCCCCATTGTCTTTTCCTTCACAAATCCTGTCTTAAGGGTATGTCTGTGTTTGAATAGGGTGTGAGCCTATGACATGGCCCAGGAACTAAATATTTATCACTACAAAAGAGTGGCCAGGCTCCCCAGGCAATCGAATCAGATAACCTGCCAGACAGGAGATAAACAACAACAGGAGAAAAACAATATTCAAATTTCTGTTTTAGACCGCCTTTTCTGTAATGTAGGTGTGATGTATCTGAGGGGTGGTCTTAGGTTACACCCCTTCTGTGATGTATGTATGATGTTTCTAGGGGTGGTCTTGATCTACAGGGTGGCAATTTCAAAAGTCTTTAAAAGGCCTTGCACACCATTTTTCTGGGTCCCTCCTCTCTCCTGCAGGTGAGGGGGGCACCCTGTTGCAACAGATCAATAAAGGCCAAGCCTGCATGCTGCTGTCTTGCTCAAAGTAATCCTGGTTGGTGTCTTTGTTTTTGTCCAAGGGAGCCCTCAGATTTTTCCGTTAACATTGTGAACTGAATAGGAGGGGGATTGAGGTCTGGGGAAACGCAAGGTGTTGATATAAATGGAATGCATTCTGATAGATATTGACTATATGAGGTATTTGATTATATACTTGTTTGAGTTAAGTTGCTTATTAAGAGATGAAATTTAGACTATCATTGTGTACAACTGTGTGTGATAAAAGAGGAAGTAGGAGAGATAGAGATACCCCGTAGTGAATGAGGGAATAGCAGAGAAAATAAGTGTCTCGACAAACAGGGTAAAATAAGCCCCCAGTGGAAGTTAGTGGAACTGCATCTTAGGGGAAAAATTATTAATTAAAGAAACATGAGTAAGACAGCAAAAATGACAACACCAGGAGAGAGAAGGACATCAATAGCTGAGATAGAAGGGGAGGGAGATTTTGCAGAAATATTGGCAAAAATAAGAGAAATCAGGAGAGAAGTAAAGGAAAGAGAAAAAATATTGGGGAAATGTTATTGGAAGTGGCTTCAGATTTATCAGGACAAATGAAGGAATTGAAAGTAAAAATACAGGTGATTTACAGGAGGTACATAACCCCAGTTAAGCTTGCAAAAATCTACCATTTGCCTGATAATAAATGTTGGAAATGTAAAGAAACTGAAGGTACATTTTTTCACCTTTGGTGGACGTGCCCAAAGATTAAGGCTTTCTGGGAGATGATATATAATGAATTAAAAAGGTATTTAAATATACCTTCTTGAAGAAACCAGAGGCCTTTCTCCTGGGCATAGTTGGCCAATCGGTGTTAAAAAAGGATAGAACTTTTTTTATGTATGCTACAACAGCAGCAAGAATACTCATCGCAAAGTATTGGAAGACACAAGAGCTACCCACACTGGAGGAATGGCAGATGAAAATGATGGACTACATGGAATTGGCGGAAATGACTGGCAGAATCTGTGACCAGGGAGAAGAGTCGGTGGAAGAAGATTGGAAGAAATTCAAAGACTATTTACAGAAATATTGCTAAATTAATGAATGTTAGAGTGATGTTGGATGGAAGTTAAGTGGCTTCTAGCTGTACAGGCTTTAAAGTTATAAATATATCAAGATTAAGGATTAGGATTAAAAAGGTTAAAAGAATGGAAAAATTGGTTTTTAATAGGTAAAAATTTAATGTTATAATATATTAAGATTAAGGATTGGGATTAAAAAGGAGGGAAAGAAATTGCTGGACTAACAAACTGAATTGGAATACAAAAGAGGGAGGTATGAGGAGGTCCGGGAAATAAGTAAATGTAAAAGAAGTGATGAAAAGATGGAATTGTTTTTAACTGTTTTTTCTTTTTTCTTTTTGTATTTCGCATTGTGTATTTTTCCTTTTATTCTTAAATTCTTCTTTTTTATTAATGTGATTCTTTTTTTGTGAAACTTTAATATATATCATTTTTTAAAAAATGAAAGTAAAAATACAAACAGTAGAGGAACAATCGGAAAAAATGCAAATAGAAATGAGGGAAAATAAAAAAGAAGAAGGGGAAAGAATGAAAGGGCAAATAGAAGAACTTTCAAAAACACAAGAAAATACATTAGACAATCTAGCCTTTCTTGAAATGAACCAAAAAGCACAGAACTTGAAATCTCGCGGACTTCCAGAGAAAGATGGGGAGAATGTGAGAGAAAGACTTATCACAGAAATTGCTAGATTACATGGTGACTAATGTTTTCGGAATAAAAGTCACCTTGGTCCAAGCAAGACAAAAAAGAAATACCCTGGAGATTTTTTTAGCAATCTTTAACTCACCAGAAGTGAGGAAAACTATTCTGAGGAAGAGCCGAGAAAAACAATTGATTATAGATAGGAAAACAATTGTGGTGTTGACAAAATAAAGTTCCAATGGGAGTATTCAGAAGGTGTGTCATTTTATTCTAAAGTCAAAAAATTTAAAATTAAGACAGTACAAGAAATGCAGAAATTTGGGAGAAGATATAAGGAGTTGGGGAAGATGGAGGGAGGGGAACAGGAAAGTGAAGAGGATAAACAAGAACAAGAGGGAGAAGAGGCAGATATTTAAGTGTAAACAATAAAATAAAATTGTATTTAATTAAATCAAAATGACAATTAAAATTATATCATGGAATGTTAATGGCATGAATAATAAAGCCCAAAAAAAATTGAATATGAGTTATTTAAAAAAAACATAGACATAATCTGTTTACAAGAAATACACGTAACATGGAAACACAATAGAGTTTTAAAGAATAAAAAATTGGGGAATGAATTCATTTCCTCAGATGTGCAAAAGAAGAGAGGAGTTGTTATATATGTCAAAAATAAATATAGTACACAACAAATATTTAAAGATAATGAAGGAAGAATAGTAGGAATACAAGTACAAATAGAAGGAGAAAAAATAATCATAGTCGGGATATATGCGCCAAAACGAAAAGAAAGCAGACCTTTACAAAAAATTACAGGAAATATGGATTACATAGAGGAAATTACGTAGAGGA